AAATTTCGAATTAATCGAACTCCCGTCTCCCGAGAACCACAACCAGTCACCTAAAAATCCTCCCAAAAACCCACTCCTAAAAACAACCAATCCAGATCTCACAAGAATTCTTACCAGAATAAATCACCGCCTGAAAAACAAACCTCAGACACCCGACACTCTTCCCTCGAACGTTATACCAACTCCGAAAATCTAGAAATTCTCGCGACGACACCTGACATCCTTCAAGGGTTGAAAGCTCGCGCACACCGTGCACACCGCTCGTCTTCGATCCTAAAGCACTGGGCCCCGGTCATCCTTAACAGGACAGCAGAAGTAGGGTTTAGCCTGGCTGGCTCTACCCTAGGCAGAGAGACACGACGAAACGAGGCTTGATGAAAATGCATCGCGCACTACTCGGAAACTGGCGGCGGGACGTATACACATACGTGCGAACCGTCGAAAATTGTAGACGCTGGTCTGGCGTGTGCAAACGCGTGTAATTAACTCAGGCAGCAGTAGGGAGCTACTTGCGAATTCATACGTGGAACTCGGGGATTCGCGGTGTAATGAGATTCCACTGGCTAATTATACGAACACCGAGGAACGACATATTCTATCTCTCTCTCACTCGCTCTCTCTTTGGTCGCGGCGCGGTTAGACGTTAGGGGCGGGCAGCACGCGTGTTAACTCGCTCGATTTCACCCGTTTTCGTTCGTATACGTGTTCTTTAACGACCGACACAAGATTCACAAGTTGAAGGAAGGGCGGCGGCGGCAGCAGGCTAAGGGTGGTAGAGAGAAAAGGAAAGAATCGAGAGAAGGTGGGATTTGATCCCGGAAAAAAGACGGCTTCGGGACAGTTCGAACGGTGTCGTCGTCGAGGCTCGCTCTTGTTAGCCTCGCGGTTTCTATTCTTACAGGCTATTTCGGCGCCGATGCAAAGAGGAAATCGATACGAGCACACGTTGCGTCAGATACGGACAACTGACGTCATATCCAATTCATTCACCGTGATATACAAGAAACGTTGGCCTGCAGGTTCGCCGCGTGCGGTGAATGGCGGAACCTCGTTTCTCCTATCCGTTAGCCCCGATTTCACCCCTTTCACTCCTTTCGGCGATTCCTTATTTCGAACGGATATCCACGGATATCTCTACGTCAGTTTGGTTCAGTCTCTTATCCCATTCTCGGAGTCTGGTTATTTATTCACTTCGGGGCTATTTTCGAAATCTCGTCTGAGGGACACCTTGTGCTTAATACTGTTCGATGTCTGGAGTGAATGGAATGTTTTTTTTTGTTTTTTTTCAAGGATAGATATCTCGTCTTCTGATTTCGTTATTCCAGTGACAAAACGTTTTCGGGAGAGATTCGAGTGAGTTAATCTGTGATACGTGTGGGTCGGTGGACGGTGAACGTGTTATTCATACGGTATTTTTCGAGAGACACAATGTGTGTCGGTAAAATCAGTGAAGTCGGTGAAACCAGTTGTGAAATGAAATATCTGGTTTTGGATAAGATGATGTTCTAATTCTAGCTGTTGTACCTATGGTAACACGTTTTACCTACGGACCTGTTAATCCATACACTTTCGTGTATAAAAATAATTCACAAGTATGCAAAAAGAAAAAAGAAATTGCATCGTCTAATTTTTAATGTTTAATGGTACGTTACGATGTGCCAAATATTTTGTCAAAAAATCCCCACCTAACTGTCTATCTCCTTTAAGTAGAACAGAGTCGAGCGCATTTCTACAGTGGCAGGTAGAAATCTTAACCCTTTCATCACCACCGAGACGCAATATCTCACTCGAACAAAAATTGCTCTCAATTTAGTATCCATAATCGATAGATAAATAAAAGATTCTTCGACAAATAATTCGGTCACGAAAGGGTTAAACATCCGCGTATCGAAGTGCGTTCGATGTAAAATGGCGAACGGAGGCGGAACGTTAATTAACCCTTTCGCTGCGGCAGATTATCGGTAAAATCTTTCGTTTTGGCGATAAAAAATTTCTAAAAATTTTAAGTTTATCATTTTCAAATTTCTATTATCAAATTAAAGCGAGAGTGCTCGAAGGATTGAATTTTAAGCAAAATTTAAGGATCGAATTGAGGCAAAAGTGTACGAAAAGTCACCAAAGTGCGAGAAAATTTCCAAAGCGCCGATAGCAGTGAAAGGGTCAATAGCTTGACGAAAAATTCTCTAATTTTTCCAAGCATTATACGTATCCGTAAACAGGCCAACGGGGTGCAATGAACTGGAAACGACGATGCTATTCCGCTCTGGAAACAATTACGCGACTAGGAATTTAAGAGAACAATATAGGTCAGCGCCGAATCAGCCGCATTTCCTCTCTTCCCTCTCTTTGTACATATACACGGTGCACGCGTTCTCTAACGCGTCCTTAACATTCACGGGGTGATAGTTCCAAGCCGGTTTTTCAATCTTGCGGCGTTTAGAAAGAAAAGAAAAAGATACTATTGGCCGTCAGATTGGTACCAGGATAGCCTGTCACGTGTATCGTCGAGTGCTTCTTGAAAACTGAACTAACAGCACCTCCAACAAATGTATCACTGACATCCGCTGATTCATTTTGCCACCAGTCGTAGCTCGTAGCCGTAAGACGCACATGTGCTAGTACCCGTAACCATATTTATCAGTATCGAGATATTTAGTGGCATTAATTAACACACCCTAACACACACGTACATACACACACACACTGGTAAACACGCTGCCACAGCACACGGTGTCGCACGACGAGGTATAACAGCGAACGAGCATAATAAGGCACGAGATTTTTTATATCCTTGCTCTACACATGCGTTCATGAGAATTCGCTGATTTTTCGAAAGATTTCTTGGTAGATCATTTTTTTAGAATTAAGTATTCAGATATAATTTTTAGGAGATTTCTATTTTGTTCGTCTCTCAGATGTGCATTTGTGTTCTTGAGTCGCTGTATGTATTCATTGTGGACGTGTAAAATTGTTCAATTTTTCGAGGAGAATTGTGGAGGAGATTGTTGTAAATTACTATTGAATTCAAAAAGTACGACGGTAATTCTTGTAATTAATCTTTGCAAGCTTTATATACTATAAAGTATCGCGTGAAACTCACTTAACCCTAGAGCGGTCTTCGGGTCTTTTTTGACCCATCGCCTTCTTATCTTTTTAATTACTGTTACTGTTATCAAATTTATGTTCCCTTAAAACATTACATCGAAAGTTCATTACCTAAGTTCATATGGCGCGCTGGTAACAAAAATTGTTGCACCTAAAACCTTTGAGTCAAAAAAGACAGTCGAACGAAAGAACGCACTAGGGTTAATCAATATATACAATCTACTTTGTGCATCCAATGTTACACTGTCTTGCTGCAATCTTACTATGGAAAGCTACCGTACTAAAAATTCAACAAAAAATCATCAACTGGACTTATGGATGATCATATTCGTAACAGAAAATGATCAAATATTCCTGTATTTTAATATAAATTAATTTACCATCTGAAATTGGAGCAGTGTTCATTATCCAACGTATAACGAATGCCAGATATTCATGCACGAATACGAATATCATAATACCAAAATGGCTTATTTTAATTCGAGTGTCAAATATTTATGCACGATTGCGAATATGCTAACGAAAATAGCATATTCTTTTGGAAATATCGAATATTCATACGTATACGCACGAATACATATCGCGTGTGTGGAAAACGAGAGAGATTGTCGAAGAAATCGTAGATCGACGAGAATATCTCTGTTCGCGGGAGAATATCTTTCCATCAGAGATGATAAAAGAAAGAGGAGTGAAAGTATCAAAGTCGACGACAAGTGCGCTCTGTAACAGGCACGTACTAGTTGGAAAAAGTGGAAATTTGCCGTGGTTACACCGGTACCTGGTGGAGCCGCGGTAAATCAACCGTAATCGATATCGATACTGCCGTTAATGGGCGTCGTAACCGGCCGATCTCGCTCCTGCCGGGTTATAAATTCTCCGGTAATCGGTCTTCGTATACGACAAACGAATCGAAATCTTGCCGTGCAATATGACGAATCGATGCGTTTGTTCCAGAGATGTTCAAATAAGAAACCTTCCTTCCCACTCTGTTCTCCGCTGTTTCGATCGAGTGTACCGGTTAACCCTTTACCTTGCGATATTAAATCATATTGGTGGCAATTGCAGTAGCAACTATGAGAAATTCAAATAAAATCGAAGAATATCTAAAGTTAAACTTCTCAGAATTCTCATGAATTTAACGCGAGCTGATAAATAACGCATCGTTCTGATACTCCATTTGACAGAATTTCATTTTCTTATTGTACTAGATATAATAGAGTGAGTTTTATTTTAGAACTGAGTATTATTGACTTTTCCGTAACGCGGAGTATTTTGTGAGTTTTTTGAAAGTAGGTTATATACAATATCTTCGGTATGAATAGCTTTCTCTGAAATACACAGGATGTACGATAAATTACGGGAGAGATCAGATAGTAACGATTGAATAACCCTTCGCCGCTTCGCGATCTGAAGTTTCATTTTCGAGATTCACTTTGAGTGTCTGTTTGAACTCTAAATTTTCGATCTTCGCATCTCGAAGGTAAATCCTTAGATATTGTGAAATAGTTAAAGAACCTTAAGATCTTCGGTGATCGTAAGGAATCGGCGTACTTCAACTTCTCCTCTAAATTCGCAAAAAATTAATACGACAATGGGTTGAATTAATTGAACATCACTGTGACTGCGCCACAATAATCACAATACCTTCGTCAATCTTGTCTAATTTCTACCAACTCGAAAATATCCACGATAAGCAATTTCTTTCTCGTGCCACATCAGGTGTCTCGTCTCGCTGTTCAGCCAGCGTCATCGAATTTTCTTCTTCACACTTACCACAGAAATGAAAAACAAACAAACAAACACACACTAAACACCGGCCCTTCTCTTTTGACCAGAGTACCGTCTGTCATAACTAACTAGAGCACGTATTGTACGCTTCTCTTATTTATGCACAGTTTTCCTGGTTTCTCCCGGCTTTGTATGCACACGAAGGGAGGGTCGCCAGTGGCCTTTGTCAAATACCAAGACGTTCGCTACGCGGCCCAGGCGATGGCCACTCTCCAAGGATCCTTTCTCCTCTCCTCCGACCGGGGAGCAATACGAATCGAATATGCAAAGTCACAAATGGCCGAGGTGGGCTTTACAAATCTCTGGATCGAAGTAGGTTTCATTTTATGCTACGCTAGCTGCTACCGACACCGCGAACATCCCGACGAAAACGCAGCACCCTGTGCGACACCCTGTGTGTGTTATCTCGATTTTTCTTTTTCTTTCCTCTTTTTTTTCTTTTCTGTTTTTTTTTTCTCTTTTCGTTATCTCGTTGATTAGCAATCCCTTGTGATCATCACCTCGACTCGTATTTTTCTCACTCCTCCCTTTTGTTTTCTTCGTTGTTTCGTCGACTTCCAATTGAACGAGCGCGCGTAGAGAGGGGTATCGGGAATTTCTTTATTAGACCATCGATGTCCGGTTCCCTCCAGTTGATCCGGCTCCATTTCTCGTCGCTCTTTCTCTCTCTGTCTGTCCTTTCGATTCTCCTTGTCCCTCGAAACCCTTTTTTTTTTCTCCACCGCTAACTTACGATCTCGTTTCACCATTGATCCACACAACACGGAGAACCATTGACGATTCCGACACGAGTGGCTGCGCGAAGCACAGATCTGCGTTTTCGTTGCTGGACACCGCAGAATTACCGTGGGGAGTTGAACGAAATGCCTCTGGAAGGAACGAGGATCTTGTTGCTACTTTTGCTCCCGCTCCCTAGCGTAGGATCGTCGGGGAAAAGGCCTCGACCGGGTGTACCACTTTTACGTCTCCATTTGCTCTCCTCTCACGCATTTAGGGTGGTCACGGTGTGATCGTGGCGGAATTGGAAAGGGGATGATTCGTTTTAGGTGAAAGGCCAGTTGAATTTACTCCGGAGTACATTTTCGCCCGTTTCGAGCTTTTCTTTCCTTGCCGCGAGAAGTAAAGTGACCTGTGTAAGTCTTCGATGGATTTTCCTACTTAATCAATTAGACTGAGAATATTTGTACAATTACAATACATGAAAATACACGAGAGTAACGTTACAGTCTTACTAACTGCACTACGGTACATTTATCCGTAGATCGATCTCGAGAGATTCTAACGTTTCTCTCGTATATTTCCATCAGTCTGTTAATCAGAGTTTAATTAGTTTCCAGGTATATTTCATTCATTTCCCTTTAACGTTCCTCATTAATACGAAGAGATGACTAAGTCTGCATTAAAATCCATTAGAATTACCAGTGATTTTCTTTCTTTTTCTCGAAAACGTCTAGTTGAACGTAAGGAAATATACTCTCCCCAACATTCGACTGCTCTCTCACGAACGAATCACCCCTTCCCGATCTGGCCACTTTAGAAGTCGCCCTGTAGCAGCACGTAACAACATTTGTAAATATTTCTCCACCATCCTGATACTGCTCAGGGGCATTTTACCACAGCTCCCTACAGTGCAGTGGCCTCAGCAGTAGAGACTCGCAGCCAATTAGCCCGCTGTCCGATTTCAATCGATCGTACACGCCACATTTTCGTTGCGGTCGGTCCGCGAGACACGTCAAATGGCGTTTCCGGGCCGCAGGACGCGCGCGTGTGTCGCGTGACGATCGATCGAACGTCGATCCTTCGGATCGAGCGGCGATCGATGCCTTCGACAGGCCGCGCAACCTGGCTGCCAATTACCAATTGTCTGCCGCTAAACGCCTATGGATCGCGTACAATCTCCGCCGATCTACGATATTTTCTTTCGTTTTTTTCTTTCTTTCTCTCCCGGTTGCACCTTTCTTTCCGCAAATCTCTACGTCTTTTCTATCTACTTCAGTTTTTTCCGGGTTTCTTTCCCTGGTTTTCGCCCACTTTTCTTTTCGTTCGAGGTATACTCAGCCGCCATTTTTCAGCTTCCGATTATATACACCTAACGCAGGCTGACCCGTTTTAATTTACGAACGTTTGTAAAAAGGAAAAGGAAGGTACGTTGAATAGGGGAAGTTTGGGGAGATTGAAGGAGGTGAAGAGGGGACATTTAAAAGTGCAGATGAAAATTCACTTGGTTGAGGCAGTTAAGGTTGCTTGGAAGTTGGTTGAATTTTTTTCTACAGTTTGTTAAATTACACGTGATAGGATTTATTTATACGAAGCGACAAAGGAGGTAATTAAATTAATTGAACGACTGTTTCGTGATTTTATCGAGAAATGTGTGAAAATACAACGAGGAAACGTAAGTGAAGTTAGTATGGACCATGTGTACCGGTATACGTCGTTCAATTAACCAGGGTAAACATCTTGTTTCAAAGACAAATTTTCCAATTCGACGTACTTTCCGTAATACAAACATTTAGAAATTAAAACCAAACCACCTTGTATAGACAGCCTTTTTCCTTCTTCTTTGTTTTCGTTCGGTTCTGCTCGATCTTCGCTGTGTTGCTTGAGATGCATAATGTTCGTTCATTTCTGCTCTGTCCTGTGGTACAATTTTTCTTCATTTCTCTACCTTTTTATCTCCTGGACGTGGTCTTTTGGTATGCGACACCCTTGAACACCGTATCCTGCCGTGCTTTTCGTAGAGATCTTGTTGTTGGTAGCGAGATTCTCCGGGGGAAGGTCGGGCAATTGCGCAGAATCGACGAAAAGGATGATATAAAAATTGCGGTGTATCTTATTATGCAGAGGAATACTTCCTTGTTCGTGAATTTTCATTTCTAATTGTAGGAAGACGACGGACGAATTTTATTCGATACTTCGAAACGTAAATGGACGTAAATTCAGTTTTTAGAGATGTCAAAATTTCTCAGATCATTGTAAAATTTTGATAAGACACTTGCAAATGGACGGGGATTATTTTATCGTGAGAAACTTCGATAAGATAGAAGGTATGTTTCTTAGGTATTTAAGCTGTTAATTATTATACTTACTTGACTCGTAGTATTATTTAAATACGATATACTTTTGTACCCGTCGTACAAGAAGTAAATACGAAAAGTATCGGGACTATTCAGCTTTATACCCGTAAAGCAGGATTTGTTGAGCAATCGGATTAAAGGAGTGGAAAGAGCGAGCGAGCAAACGGAAATAAAGATCACAAAGAATGGTTGGTCACAAAGAGCCAGGCGAGCGGTATATTTCTAAAGCAACGTAGCGTAGATCATCAAAGTCTTACAATAAGTTCTCGTATCACTGAAGAGATATCCGGATCGCTCTCGATCTTCCCTTCTCTTTTCTTCGCTCTCTACGATCCTAATTTAATAGCATTCAAATGCAAAGAGATCGTAACTCAAAGTAAAAGCATTATACATCTTTACGTTACAGTCTTAACGTCTGTTGAAATTAATGCAAAAAATTTTTTCAAACACAATTCTTCCAGTAAACCGATTCAATAGTACGTTCAATCCTTTACTCAGCCACAGCCATTGTGTAATTAAATTTTCACGTCGTAAAGTCGTTCAAACTTGACTCGTGTAATTTTCAAAGCTGAAGAAACATCTGTTAGGGGAATCTCGTTGATAAATAGATCATGTCAAGCCAGTTACTCGAAAGCAATAGCGAAAGAAACACGTCGATCACCTTTCATATTTCATATTTTCATTGAAACAAACGAAACGAAAGTGCGAATTACACGTTGCACTACGATACTACAGAGTTGTAATAACACCAGAAGAATATAGGTGAAAGAAAGAAAAGGTAACGCTGCATTCACGCGGAAAGATGCGATTCGATCCAGCGAAAGTAGTCTCTCCTCCGAAAAACAGGCCAAATTGCCCGACCTTCCCCTCGGTGAAATTAGAGGATCGATAGAATCTGCTTGGGGCTGGGCAACGTGGGACACGAAAACGCATCGTCACTAATTCATTTCGCTTTACCGGAACGGAGACGCCTTGGCAGCGCGACGGTGAAGATGAACGTGGCTGCTGAAGGAATATCCGATGTGTATTAGAATGCTTTTTCTCTCTCTCACTCTACTCTCTTTCTCTGTCTATCTATCTATCTGTTTCTCTGTTTCTCTGGTCTTTCGCCGTGAATTAAAAGCGACGCGACCGTCCTGCATTTTCTTTCATTCCTTTCCTCCGCAACCAAGGATCTCCCCGAAAGCCTCGTTGAAAGAAAGAAAGACAGAAAAAAAAAAAGAACGAAGGAAAGAAAGCAAAAAAAAAAACGAGAGCTTTTCAGTCCGGACGCAGTCACGGCCTAATGAGGTACGTAAATTACTCAATGGCAAGGCGTCTCTTCTTCGTCGGCCGTGGGAAGAGGCTCGTTCGGGAAAAAGGGACGAGAAATGTAGGTTGTCTCTTGCTTTCGTTTCCGCGGGACAATGACGGATTCATTAAACGCGACGACTCCTACAGCTACGGTTAAATCGGTAAACTCTCTTCTTGGCGGCGACCGACCGCTCGAAAACCGGATGTTCGAACGCCGTTTATGTCTGTTCGCCGCTCTGTTCGTAGCCCGCGATCACGGCTGATTAGAACGACCGAGAGAGGAGGCACCGTTAGGGGTTTCCTCGAGAGATCGTCGTCGCCTCGAGATCGGGAATCGCGTTCGATCAACGCGACGTGAATTATATTCGCGTACGAAGAGTTTTGTTGCGCCTCTCGGTGCTCTTTGGAGAAAGGGTCGGAAATTATTTCTTTCGAGTATCACCTTCTACGTATGCGCTTTGTGATCATGTTTGACGGTTAACACAGTTGTTAGGAAGGATTAGAAGCATTGTTGAATTAAAATTCAAGCTGAAGCTGAACGTTGGAATATTGTGAAACAGTGTGAAACGAAGTTGAGCGAAAAATGGTGTAGGAATGTGCAAAGTAGATTTTCCGTGTAATTTTCTCTTTGCCCGGCGTGAGTTTCATACCACCGCGACAACCATTGTCTTAGTATAAATCCTGGGAAAAGAAATGCTGATCGTGATAACAGTATGGTTATTAAAAGAACGTTCTTTAAGAGTTATTACAGCACGGAACGGTGATAAGCATACAATTGCTTGAAGAATGTTCTTTCCAAAGAGATGCATAACATGTAACACAATGTGATATTTTTGTATATTGCTTCTATGAAAAGAATAGATCTCATTCGCTGATTTTCACCTGACGTTTTATCGGAGAATTCATCTGCTCGTTCGGCGAACTATGCAATTTGTTGAAATAAGGAGGAAGAGTTACAAATTCCTGCAAATCGTCTTTTTCCAAAAGTCATTCATATTCAACCACCTTGCAAGCAACGATGAAGTAAAGATAAAAATTAAATTAAGGAGAAGAAAAATTGACTTCAGAACCTTTTTGAAATTTTCCAAGCATTCGTCTGTCACAAATTCTCTACGAGTGATATACGCCCGAAAAGTTTACGACCCTTTCTTCCTGAAGCACCCTGTATATCATCCACACACGGAGGCAAAGAAATAGCAGAGAGAGTTGGAACAGAAAAAAAAAAAAGAAACATGTATGAAAACGATCGAAAAATTGATCGGTCCAGACGACAGGGGTTTGCTTTTACTCCCGCGATTCTCGAAAACCGTGTGCGCGCCGTTCGATCGAACCGATGCGACGCGACGCGCGACGAGAACAGTCCTCTTCGCGGCTGTAAATCAGCGGTATCGCGGACAAAAACCGTGAAAGTGGCGGAATGGAGACAAACGAGGCACGATGAGCGACCGAGCGAACACGCTCGTTTCATACATACACTCTCGTTCATCCGTTCCGATTTCACGACGAACGACATCGGCCGGCAACAATTTCGTGTCCTGTCCTGCTGCTCGTTTTTTTTTACTTCCCAACAAACGATTTAAAACGATTGGACTAGACCAAGCAGAACTTATGTTTCCGTTCGTCGTCGCTTCATTTTATTATCCTTTTATCCGCTTGAATGTTGAAACGTTGTTGAAACAATTCTTTTCTTTTCATTCTTCTTCTTGGAGATATACACAATATATGATCGTGTCATTGGCTAGGAGAGTTTTTAAGCCTAATTTCTCAGGGATTTTGTACAATGATAAAATTGTACTAAAACTGGAAAAAGAAATGCCGATTTTAGGTTGAAGAAATTAATCGGCCAGTGTGTGTACGTGTTAATCCGTCTTCCTCGAACTGTTCTAATTAATTCCTTGGTTTTTCCAGGGATCAAAGAGAGAAGAAAACGGGCAACCTTAAGATCGACATCAACGGCATGTAAGAGGAACGAGGGAAGACCTGTACGTGCTTACACCCCGGAGTGCGATAACAGTGAATTGGATCCTATGTTTTCGCAATAGTAAACAAAGAGAAATCATCGATACGAAGAGTGGATTAACAACAACAACGTAGGAACGGGACAAAAACTGGTTTCCGGGGCGATTGAAACAGTCGCTCGAAGAGAATCGTTGCGAAGACAGAAGAACCAAGATGGCGGCGACCAGCCGCAGAGATCCAGATACAGAGAGAGAGAGAGAGAGAGAAAGATAAGGAAAGGGTGGAAACGGAGAACGAAACATGGTCAGAGGGGTGGGGATGTAGGGGGGATAAAAGTAGAAAAAAACGAAAAAAGCACGTAAAAAGGGAAAACGGAAAATAAGGAACACCCACGTACACAAAAGAAAAAAAAAGAAAGTAAGGAAAAGGGGAAAAGATCGGTAGAAAAAATTAATAAGAAAAGACGAGACAGGGGTGTGTGTGCGTGTGCAATGTTTCTCTACCTTGTCTCGCGAGATAAAAGCATCAGCACCGCATACCGTAAACGGGAGAGAAAAAAAAAGGAGAAGAACAAACGTGAGGGGAGAAAAGAGAAAAAACGAAAAAACGAAAAAAAAAAAAAATGGAAAAAAAATTTTCTTGTAAATTGCGCGCGGAGCAACGGCGTTTTAGATTCGCGACTCGCGGGGGGCCCAAAATAATCGCGTATATATGATATTCCTAGGTATATATATTTTTTAACGACTTAACTTATCGATCTATTTCGATTAGCCGTGTACTACCTTGTCTATTTATTTTCCACCGAGTCTTGATTGCGATCGACGACGACGACGAAGCGAGAGACACGAAAAATGAGAGGTCGAAGAATATTACACGAAGGAGGGAGAAGGGAAACACGAAACAGGGAAGTTTACACGAGAAAAGAGAGGGACAACACACGATGGAAAGGGAGAGAGAAAACTTGGCGGAAGAGGTGTGCGTCGGTTGGTGATGTTGCATGGGGGCGTCGCAACGCTCCGGCAAATTTCCACGCCGAGGCGGCCACACGCCACGATTTCGACACCCATGACACGATTTCCTTTCGTACACACACACACACAGGTACACAAATACAGATATACAAATGAAGACACTTACACAGAAAGAAGAGAAGCATAAAAGCAGGAAGGCACTCTTGAAGTCACACGCGCACGTATATATGTAATACTTGTTCACACGTACACAGAAGGAACACACAGAAGTCCACAGTCGCGGAAGATTCTTTTAGGAAAATCGAGCCCCGCGCTGTCTTCGAACAAATTGTTTTTCTTTTTTGTTTGTTCTTTTTTTCTAAGGGGGGGGGTGACAGAAGTAGGATTTTATTGTAGTGAAACATGTGACGTGATTACTCAAGGGGGGGAAAAAAAAAAACAGAGTAGTTTCGTTGTATGGCGCTTTTTAAACTGTTAACTGGACTCTCTATTTGTTAAATCGAAAGCGGAGATTTGTATTTGAAAATTTTGTTTTCCGAAGGAACGATAAGGGTAAGACGACAGAAACGGAAGGAAAGCGGATAGGGAAAATGATTTCTATTTTATATTTTTAGATACGTAAAATAGTTACGAATAAAGAAAGTATAACGTTGTTTCGCGCGACGACAAATTGTTATAAGCGGTACTCTGTTTAACGCTTTGCCTTACGATACTGAATCATATTTATAGTACAGAGTATGATTCAGCCGCTGCAAACACTTTGGTTTCGCTTTGCAAAATTAAAGACCGTAAGACGAGTTGTGCACAGAACTGGAAAAGAAACACAAGTAATTCGAGTAAAAAGACGGAGTAGAGTAACTGCAGCAGCGTGAACTGTGAGAAACGTAAATTCATTTCGCTACTGAAAAAATGATCGTAAAGCAAGGAGTTGAAAGAAAGTACCAGGTAGAATGACCGTGACAGTATCGAACAGGTAAATAGCACGAGCAATAGAAAAGGTAAATCCGTTTGCCGATTCTAACGTGTGTGTAACCATGAAAGAATCACGAAGTTGAAGAAGAAAGCAGACTAAAGTAGCGGTACGAAACACTCGTCGTATTGAAAGTAAAAAACAAAAAAAAAGAAGAATGAATTATATATTTCGTAATTAGTAAACTTAACAAAATAAATCGACTATTTGCCAGTTAACAGGTTAACAGTGCCTGAAGAAAAGAAAATTCGAAATTAAGAGGCTGTTGCGAAATCTAACGTTGCAATACCGGACTCGAAGGAAAAACGGCGTCGATGCCGATTCGACTCGACGCATTTGTTACTTCTCGTTTCACGATGGAATTACGAGCGAACCTAAACCGCGCGTCTATTAATTCCCGGACAGCTAATTCGACGGAGGCGTAGACGGGTAGTATCGTGACATGTGTAACTTCGCGTGCAAAGAGAGGAGATCCTCTCTTGGTGTACGCGTGTGTCTCTGGCGTGTGAAGTGTGGAGAAAGAGGGAGAGAAACAGGAACGGGAACGAAACGGGAAATGAAAGGAGACGAGGAAGACAAGCGCGGAGGCTCGTAGATATGAAAGTGCGTAAAATATAGAAATACAAAAGAGACGAAGACGAGTACATCAAGCTTAATACCAAAGGTGCCCTAAGAAGCGTGTATTTATGTTTTATCATTGGCGCGTCGCGAAAAGGCGAACATATACATTTAATTATGTATCTTGTTAAGGAGAGTCTAATATCCTAGACGAGAGTGGCAATGAACGAAAGCGTGAATGGGGGATGCGTGAATGGGGGGGAAAAAAAAAAAAGGAAGAAAAGCAGAAGGAGAAGAAACACAATTTCCGAAAGAATGTGACTCGTACGAATGAGAGAAAGAGAGCAAGAGAGATTGTGTTAATTTACGTAATAATCTTATACATATACATAACGAATGCGAACATATCATAGAATTAAGCAGTAGAGGGAAGAAAGTTAAAGTTCTTGTAATAAGGATTAACAGAAAAAAAAAAAAAACTTTTAAACGATCTGTCTCTTTGTAGTGGCGCAGATAGAGACAGACAGACATGAGAGAGAGAGAGAGAGAGAGAGAGAGAGAGAAAGAGAGAGGATACGAAGGTGGTGTGTGCCCTGCGTGCTAGATACGACGGCCAACTCGGCACGTAATTTGCCCAAGTGCCTTCCCGTTGGTCGAGTCATGCTATAATTCGTACCGTGTATTATTCGTCTCGTCCCGATTTCAAACGTCGAACTCCTCCCCCACATTTCATAAATATACATTATACACGTATATATATATGTATATATATATATGTATATATATACACATACATATATATGTATACCATGCATACACGAAAACATGAAAAAAAAAAGTAAGGGAAAAAAACATACACACATGGATTATAAACCGCAGGTCCTGAATTTACCCAGGAGAGAGACGCTTCTTCAAACTAAACTTTTAAACTAATCCAAAGCTGTTCGAGCCTGCCTGATAGTTTTCTATCGCCTCGTCGTTTTCTACTTAGCCCATTCTCCTTCTCGAAAGGACAGAGAGCTGCCGCATCGACGCGCGTGTTCCTCTAATTAAAATACTTGGGCTCGACGATTATCCCGTTGAACGAATCCACGTGTTAATGGGGAAAGAGAAATTACATTTCGCGCGTGTGGTGTATACGGATACGAGTAGTAAAAAGATGAACGGAGAGAAGAGTAGAGAAAAACGTTTCGCTGAAGAATGTATATATACAAACATATTGTATATGTTGAAAAATGAAAAAGCAAAAAAAGTGGGAAAATGGTGAAAATTCTTCAACGGTAATCGACATATATTCTTCGTATTAACAAGTGACAAAGAAAATGCCTCGTCCTGAGACGAGAGTGACCCAAACACGTCTGCAGGGAAAGTTTGCCAAAAAGAGTCGCAACCTTTCACTTGCGAATCGACTACCAAGTAGCTGCGCTTCATTTACGTCACTTATGGACCGAACTGACCTCTCGAAATCGATCAGAAAAGAGGTGACCGTTCGTTTGACCCGTTAGCACGACTCTTCTTCAGAGACAAATTACACACCAGCTGCGGTCACCATATTGGTTCCACACGAAGTTGTATACAGAGAAAAGCGTTAGGAAGAATCACATCGGAACGAAACTCTTAAACGGTTTGTTTTGTCTATAAGCATCGTAAATTAAGATAGGTACTTTGGTAGACGATTCGCGAAGCTTTTAACCTCTTAAAGACACGAGATATCTTTTAGCCGGCATACTTTCCGCTTCCCGTCTGCGGTTCGTTTCGTCCTCAGCGACACAAGAGACAGGAAAACGAAAAAAAAAAAAAAGAGTCGCATATTTTTCTCGTAGGTTCCTCGAATTTCCACGTTATTTCTCGAGCGGCTTCTCGGGTCGATCGACAGCTTCTTTCTTAGAGTTCAGAGCCAATCCTCGTGCTGAATATTGTATCTTCGTCGAAATACAACCACTGGGCATTTATTATACGCATCCGCAATTAATAGTGGCGAGTGGTGATTAAGTGATTAAGGGTATAATAGAATGGTAGAAAGAGAGTGTTTACCGAACCGTGCATGTGCGTGCGTGTCTGTGTTTCGTGTGCTTGTGTGTGTGTGTGTGTATATGTAAAATTGGAGAATTACGAGAAAGAGAGAGAAGGAGGAAAAAGAGAGACAGAGAGAAAGGAAGAAAAAAAGAGAGAAGAGCCGTCGTCGTGACTAAACTCACCGGGAACAGCTAATTTTTCGCGATTGGCGCTCAAAAGACATTCGTCAGCGACATGTGACGGCTGTCGTAATTGCTCTCGAGCGCGAGCACGCTCCTTTATTTTTCTATTTCCACGAGAACGTACGCGGGGGAAAAAAAAAAAAGAGAGAAGCACACCGAAGGGGGAGAAAAAAACGAGGGTGCGGTGCACAGTTTCGTTTCTGTCTATGGAAATGATTGTACATCGAGACGCGATACTTGTTAGGTACGTCTTGCCAGCCGAGCTCTCTTTGCGATCGTATCATTTGCTGTAAAATGGAGACATAAAGATAGTTGGAAATTTCTGTTAAGGTGTTTTATCTCGTTGCTCGATAAGGTTCTTTTTAACTAAAACAAAAAAATAATTCTTAACGAACGATATTTCGACCAATACGAGAGTACACGATTTGAAATTGAGAGAGGTAAATATGTTTTGCAAAATCATCGAGCAATTTTCAATTCTGTTAGAGAACGATGGTACTTGAACGAGTCTATTTTTGCTAGCGTAATCTGTTGTTCGACGAGGAATAATTTAAAGTAGAGAAGAGTGTGAAATCGTGTCGTTGCTCAATCAATTTCTCTTATACACATGATCTTTTTTAATTGAAGTACAAATAGGAGAAGAAGCTCTGACATTTAGAACAGAGGTACTGAGATAATCTTAAAGTAATAATAATTCGAATGACAATTCGAAAGACCAATTTTTTCTAATACTATCTGGTATTTGTAATAAACATTCTCTCTATTTCGACGATGAATCTCAGTCACTGTTACATTAATATAAATTTCAAAAAAAAAAAAAAAACAAATTCTCCACTCACTGGTACAATTAAAAAAAAAAGAAAAACCATCGTCAAATTTCGACATTCGCCGCATTAACATTAAAATCACGATCTGCGAGCTACAAATTTCCTTGTTTTCTCGCTAAGACCGACAACAATGTCACTGGAAGGTCCAGGCGGAACGACGAACCACGTCTTCTTACCTTTCTACACGACTTTCCTACCCGTGAAACAAAAATCCACCTGACCTGAAAGACAAAGTTGGCCGGTCCGTTTCCGGAGAACTGGACCGTCGCGAAATTCAGAGCGAGACGAAGGTGTCCCTTTAACTCTGGAAACGGTAAACACAGGTCGTCGGGCAACGAGATCGTTGGTAAAGGAAGTGTGCCAGTGATCGCAAAGTCGTCTCGGCATGGTTGAAACGGTTTTGGAAATCGGCCCGAAGCTTTCAAACGACGGCCACCAACCGACTGCTTCAGATTCCAAAAAGTATGTCGCTGAATCGAAAACACGAGACGGCGTAACAAAGTGAACGAAAGAGAGGATAGAGAGAGAAAAGAGAAGGAGACAAACAGACAGACGGAAGTAACACGAGGTTTCAGGGTTGTCACTCTTCTGATACATATCGTTAGATCGTTAAGGGCTTACTGAGCAGGTCGTTTAAGGTAGATAATTGTCTTTGGAAAGCGTTTGCCGTCGTTTTTAAGAGAAGACAACGGCGTCTGTACTTCGTTTCGATGATTCGTTGTAACCTCGTTCACCGGTGTTCTATTTTTATTCGAGTAGCAAAAAAGTGTTGAAATTAAAATGAAGTAAGAATATTGCAGAAGATAATTAGTTACCAGTGAAAGGAATGAACGTTTCTTTGAGCAGTCTTGTGTTGAACTTTAGTCCGACTGTGTTTTAATGTTGTTTCCACTACCGATGCACCGATAGAAATAACAATAGAA